CAGATGCACAGCGGCAGACAGCATGATGTACACATAAGTCTCCTTTTACTTTCTTTCAAAATAAGGAAAGTAGGCTAAATTATAGCGTGTAATATTCACTGTGCTTACTAACTTTACTAACTAACTTACTTACTAACTAACTAACGTCTTTTAGACTTGTTCAAAGTAACTGAGAAAACATGTTCTTAGATTCGCAGTGTCCGTACGGCTGTCAGTCCGACTGAAAATAACTCTACTCCGCAGGATGGGTTTTCATTACTTTATACTATATTTTGGACTTTTACTAAAACACAATTCAGTTTTGGTTCAAATCGGGCATCCATTACGGACACTGCACGGATACCTGGCTGCGTTTTAGAGTATTTCACTCCAGCCCCTGCTTCGCTGACGAGATCACAACAGGATTGCCATGGGAGAGCAACCCTCAGCATCCAATGTAATGATTTCACAGTTGAAATATCTGAACGCTCTCCCAATGTTACGTCATATGTACATTGACAGTCATGTATTAAGCGTAATTAACCCATGTAACAGGTTGTGAGTTTTATTTTCTGTGTGCGGCACCCCATTCATACCTAAGCATCAGGGCACCTAACCATTCTCTATCCAAAGTGCAGAAGGAATCATTTCCACAGGGATGAAGTCGGCCGGAAAGTGAAACTAGCCTCTTATAGCCGATGCATGGCTCCTTTCTTGCCTTTATAATTTCGTCACAGCGACGTAAAGGTAAAAAAAGATAAAATTGCCCCTGTGCTTAACGAATTAAGCACTACGTCATGAAGGCGTATGGGGGAGTGGATGTATAGATCCATATTTTCTTGACCTCGGCACTGGCTGGTGGTGAGTGGTCAGCTTCACGCCCCTGCCGCTTTACCCACCAGGGAGAGAGCCCCCGGTACCCATTGTAAAGGATGTTGGGTGGATCCAAGGGTCTGTGACGACTTGGAGAACAGAAAATTCTTGACCCTACCGGGACTCGAACTCCGACCCCTTCGTCGTCCAGCTCATAGCTAGTCGCTGTACCGACTACGCTATCACCTTCATGGCCCCCAAAATGTACTTTGCAAAAAGGCTTTTATAGAATAATTTGTATATCCCACTTGTTTAAATGTCCTGCAAAAGAAACATGTCTGCTTGTAAAGGCTGCTTGTTGTTTACATTTCCGGTGCTGAGGCCCCTCTCGACGGCGGTTATCTTAGCGGTATATTTGTCTGACAAAGCCGCCGTGAAGTCTGAAGCGTGTGGAAAGTTTGTCTGAACCATCTCTGAAGGTACATTTTACTCTTAGTAGGCAACCTCACGGAAGAAAAGTCCCGTGTTCAAGGAGGTCCCTGGTATGGAGACTGTATCCTGAAAATAGAATCTAGTAATGAGTACTCCGCTGGTCACGGTAACCGAGCGGTCTAAAGGCTCGCGATTCTGACTCAGCTCGGGTTCCAATGAGCCAAACTCGTCCGTGTGCGGGTCGCCACAGCTCATGCGTGTGTGGTGAAATTAATCCGAGCCCGACTCCCGAGTCAAGCTCGCCGAGCCGGACTCGCGAGCCAGACTCGTACGTGTATGGGCCGCCTAAGGCATGTACTGTCTCCTCTCGCTCCGAAGCTGGGATCGTGGGTTCGAATCTCACACAAGGCATGGATGTTTGATATGTGTATGTGTTTGTGTTGTCCTGTGTTTAGGTAGAAGCCTTGCGACGAGCTGATCACTCGCCCAAGGAGTCCTACCTTCTGTAAAATGACAATGAAACTGAAAAAAAAAGTCGGAGGCCAGGGCCCAAGGGGGGGTGTAGAGCATATGTGAAAAAGATTACTTAATGATCTGTCCCGTTATCGGATGATGACATCCTCATAGATGATTTAGGCATGCAGCAGTAGTAATTGGTCCATACTGACGTACGAAATGCATTTGGTGTTAGCCATGCAATATTCCGTTTACTCGTGAAGCTATGAAATTATCGGCAGGTTACTGTAGCGGTAACACTGAATTTTATTTCGAAGGTGCCAGGATCAAATTTCGGTCAGAACTGAGGTTCTTCATGGTTTTCCCCACTCCCTTCATGCAAATGTCGGGATGCCCACTAGATTAGGTCATGAACGCTTCCTTCCACATCCTTTCCAGTATATTATTCATCATTTTGCCACGTGTAGGAGGGTACGCGTGACGAAATTAACGGGTTCTAATTCGGATGATTGGATTAACACTTCTTTTACAGTCTCTCTTAATTGCAGTTGATACAGCGTTCCCTTTGATTTACACAGTTTACAGCTCACCGTTGCACACGCCCTAGGATTCTGTTTCCACTAGTCGTCACCTAGCAACGGATGTCAAAACATAAACTAGCTCATCAAATCAGTATGAAGTCTCCCTGCAATTTCTTATTCAATCGACCTGGAATCTTGGTACTCACTAAAACTCTTCTGGACTCTTCTTAGCTACTAGCGGACTCGTATTATGTAGCCGCGGCACGGACAACACAGAAAACATAGTTCAACTATTGCTTAGCGCAGATCACAGAAAAAAGCCACGTGATAGCTAAGTACTGTTGGAGTGTAACGTCATTGCGCATGGGCGGAAGTGTGTTTACCGAGCTGTTGCCTAGAAGCGGGTTGCATAACACCGTTGTTCCATTGTTGGTGCATATGTTACTTAACAACGGCTGTTTCTATGGCTCAACCGTTCTTGCATGGGGCATATACGCCACACTGTCATTCTACTCATTATGGCCAGATATATTGACAGTTTCGTAGAATGAACCACAAAAACTTCTATAACAATTATAGTAATTCAATTCAATTCATGTTTATTTACGTGCAGACTTAACAGCACAGAGGCCAATTACAAAGCTAGCACGAATAGAGAAATACACAAAAATAATTAAAAAACAAAATACAAAAATGCTAGTCTATATTAATTACACAGTCAGCATGAATAAGATACAGAAGCAAACATACACAGACAAAGCCACAATGTGAGAATTTGAGTTTCAAATAGAGCAGCATACAATAATAATAATAACGAAATTAATAAAAATCAAACCTATTATTGAGAAGTGAGAAAATTAAAATATATACAATTTCAATTTGATTGGAATAGACATGGCAGCAATAAAATATAAAACAATTCAAGTCTTAATGGATTAATGTATAAATATATTGATTCCAACTTTTTGTTCATTTACATGCGAAATATGATTGACAGAAACTGTTCCGATTGCAAATATGTCGAGATCTTTACCCACCGCGTTGGCAGCAAGGGCGCACCGAGCAGAAGGACA